CCTATAATTTTATCACTCCGAAAGAGGCCAAGAGAATAGGTCTCAAGGTGGTGCAGGAGGGAAGAAGTCTGAAGGCAGTTAACTCACCTCCTAAGCAACTATTTGGCATAGCACAAGGGGTTGAGCTATGTTTGGGAAGCTAGAGTGGTAAGATAGACTTCTCCGTAGCTCTTATGGATGACTTCAAGGTCGTGCTGGGACTAAAGTTCTTCAAGAAGGTAAACGCTTACCTCATGCCTTATTATAATTTACTTTGCATACTAGAGAGGGAAAATCCTTGCTTTGTGCCTACAAGAAGGGTGAGTGGTGGGCACCAACTCTCGACCTTGTAAGTTAAGAAGGGATTAAAGAAGGGAGAGGCTACGTACTTAGTAACACTAAAGGAGATTGACCCTGGGGACAAGGTTAAGGAAGAAGTCCCTCCCATAGTTGCCCATGTCCTGATAGAGAACCAAGACATTATGCCTGCTGAGTTGCCTAAGAAGCTTCCACCATGCAGAGAGGTGGATCATGAGATTGAGTTAGAACCAGGAACTCGGCCAATGGCCATACCGCCATATTGTATGGCACCACCAGATAGGAGGAAATGAGGAAGCAATTAAAGGAGTTAATCAACGCAGGCTTCATTTGACCATCAAAAGCACCTTTTGGAGCATCGGTCTTATTTCAAAAGAAGCAGGATAGGTCCTTGCACCTATGAATCGACTACCGGGCTCTCAACAAGGTAACTATTAAAAACAAATATCCTATTCCTTTGATAGCTGACTTGTTTGATCGCCTGGGAAAGGAAAAGTACTTTTCCAAATTAGATATAAGGTCTAGGTATCATCAAGTTGAATTTCCGAAGGAGATGAACCCAAGACCACTTGTGCAACACGATATAGGTCCTTTGAATGGTTAGTCATGCCTTTTGGACTAACCGATACTTCAACCACATTCTGCACTTTGATGAATAAGATCTTTTATCCTTATGTCGATCGATTCGTGGTGGTGTACCTAGACGACATTGTCGGATATAGCAACTCATTGGAGGAATATGCTGAACACCTCTAGATTGTATTTAAGACCCTTCGTGAAAATGAGCTTTATGTGAAGAAGGAAAAGTACTCCTTTGCTATGGAGGAAGTCTCCTTCTTGGGACATGTTATCTCACATGGTTGCCTCAAGATGGATGAGAAAAAGGTATAAGCTATAAAGGAATGGGAGCCTCCAACATGTGTGGCTAAGCTACAGTCCTTTCTGGGATTGGTAAACTATTATCGACGATTCATCAAAGGCTACTCAGCAATAGCTGCCCCTCTCACAGAGTTGTTGAAGAAGAACAAGTGTTGGGCTTGGATAGAGGAGTGCCAACAAGCCTTTGAGGACTTGAAGGCAGTTGTCATGGAAGAACTAGTGTTGACACTTCCTGACTTCTCCAAACCCTTTGAGGTACATACTGATGCCTCTGACTTTGCTATAGGAGGTGTCCTAATGCAAGAGAGGCATCATATTACCTTTGAAAGTCACGAGCTAAATGATACCGAGAAGCGGTACACAGTCTAGGAAAAGGAGATGACGGCTGTAGTCCATTGCTTGTGTATTTAGAGGCATTACTTATTGGGGGCAAAGTTTGTCATCAAGACGGACAAGGTAGCCACTAGTTACTTCCAGACTCAAAAGAAGTTGACGCCAAAGCAAGCAAGATGGCAAGACTTCTTGGCTGAGTTTGACTATGTGTTGGAATATAAGCCAGGAGCAGCTAACGTCGTTGCCGATATGCTAAGTAGAAAGGAAGAACTGGCAACCTTGACCCAAGTTAGTGGGGACTTGGTTGAGAAGATTAAGGAAGGGATGGCCCAGGATCCCATAGCCCTACAGCTAATAGAATTATCAAAAGAGGGGAAGACTAAGAGATTTTGGGTGGAAGATGAAATCCTCTACACTTTAGGAAGGCGAATGTATGTTCCTAAATGGGCAAACCTAAGGAAGGAGCTAATCAAAGAGTGTCACAACTCTAAATGGGCAGGTCACCCAGGTCAAAGGCGAACTTTGGCTTTGCTAGAAGCAGCCTATTATTGGCCTTACATGAGGGAGGATGTGGAACTTTATATGAAGACTTGTCTTGTATGCTAATAAGACAAGGTGGATAATCAATTACCTAGAGGATTGCTCGAACCCTTACCTACACCAAGCCAACCATGGGAAAGTGTTTCCTGGACTTCATCTTAGCATTACTTAAGTCAGAAGGATTCAGATCCATCATGGTGGTAGTAGATCGATTCTCTAAATATACAACTTTCATAGCCACCCCAACAGACTGCACAGTTGAGAAGCGGCTCGAATGTTTTTCAAAAATGTGGTAAAGTACTGGGGTATTCCTAGAACTATCATCAGTGATAGAGATCCCCGGTTCACAGGAAAGTTATGGACGAAACTATTCAAACTATTGGGGATGGTGCTACACTTCTCAACTAGCTTTCATCCTCAAACAGACGGGCAAACTAAGAGGGTGAATGCCTTACTTGAGTGCTACTTGCGGACCTTTGTTAGTGCCAATCAGAAAGACTGGGCTAAGTTACTTGATGTGGATCAGTTCTCCTATAAACTACAGAGGAGCGAGGCGACAGGAAAGAGCCCATTTGAGATTGTGATGGGGCAACAACTGATCACCCCATATGCCCTCGCAACCTCCTATAAAGGTAAGAGCCCTAGAGCTTTTCACATGGCTAAATCCTGGTAGGAACAGGCAGATAAAACAAGATCATTCCTTATAAAAGCTACTAAGAAGATGAAGAAGTTTGTAGACAAACGAAGGCATGCAATAGAATTTCAAGTGGGAGACATGGTAATGGTGAAACTTCTCCCATAATAATTTAAAGCCTTCATAACAATACACAAGGGCCTCATTCGCAAATATGAAGGTCCCTATAAGGTAATTAAGAAAGTATAGAAAGTCTCATATAAATTGGATCTCCCTACTAATTTAAAGATTCATCCTATCTTCCATGTTAGCATATTGAAACCTTATTACAAAGATTAGGATGACCCAACTCAAGGAACATCATCATGTGCCTTACCGATCATCATTAAGGCATATGATTGAGGAGTTGAAAAAATACTTAGTCATTGAGTTGTGCAGAAAAGATGTTTGCTACTAGATAACAATACTTGATCAAATGGAAGGGATTACCAGAGAGTGAAGCGACATAGGAATCTCAAAGAGGTCTTTGGCAATTTGAAGAACTACTTCGTTCCTATAAAGATGATGCCGTGACAAGGACGTCACTCAAATAGGTGGGGGAGAATGTGATAAAGTTAGAATTTTCATGAGGTTAAAATATTCTAGAAGCTTTTGGAATGATCCAGGACAATTAAGAAGGCACTGGAGTCTTTTGAAATACGCTGATATGACCTCGAAAGATCTAGATATCTCTAGAATATTGTAGAAAGCACTTGAAGTATCTAGATCATTCTAGGGATATCTTATTCTTGTATATTTTATAATTCTCCTCGTAAATATCAAGATATTCCTTGTAGATATTTCTATTATAGAAATATCTAGAGATAAAATGTATACCGTTAGATTGAATCAATCCCAATCATCCATTAAGGAGGTAAAAATTTTTTAGAGAAAGGGGAAGGCCTATAAATACTCTCTCACCCCTCATTTGTAACCACTCAAGCAAAGCAATAAAGTTTTCAAATTTATTCACTCAAACTCTCTACTCTCTACTTGCACAACTAGTCCTCTTAAGTCTCTTTGCCTACTTTGTGAGTTCGGCTGACTTAGTTACGATCAAGAGGTTGATCAAAGTTAAGGCCGGCATGGTTTAAAAAAAGGGGAAGTTCCAAGACCGTGACATTAAGGATCAAAAACACTCAAAATAAAAGTATAGGGACCTAAAATATTAAAAAAAGTACAGAGATCAATAATAAAACTCGAATAAAGTGTGTGGACCAAAAGTTATATTTTTTCAATTTTATATTTTGATAAATATAAATAAACTAATAAATCTGGATTGTTTTGAATCTAAACGCTTACAGTGCTTATCAAGTGAAGTGATGAGCACTAAAAGCATCCACATTCGGTGCTTATCATTGTGATGAGCATCGAATACTCATAAGCATCAGGAGCAATCCTAAACCTCTATTTCACCCTTATTTGATTATTGCAGTCTATTTAATTAATTTTAAATATTTTTAAATTAATTTTTATATTTATTAAAATAAAGAATATAAAAATTTAAATTAAATTTGTTCTAGCTGAATTAATAATGAACAAATGTATTAAAATTTTAAATTTCAATTTTTATTAATAATATAAATTAAAAAATATTTAAAAATTAATTTAATTGAATGATAGAGATCAATTTAAATTAAAATAGGAGGTTAGGATTGCTTGAAAAACCGGATCGGATCGGATCGGACCGGCCGGGTCAACCCGAAAAACCGGTAAACCGGTCCCCTGTCCGGTCTGAGTTTGCTCTTTAACCCGGTGAGGGAGCAAACCGGTGTAACCCGGTCAACCCGGGTTCAACCCGGTATAACCCGGATAACCCGTTAGGTTGACTGGGTTAACCGGGTAATATTTTTTCAGACTTTTACCCCAAAATGATGTCGTTTTTGATTTTTTTTTTCATTTTAATTTTCAGAGCTCTGAGTTCAGAAAAAAGTTAATAAAAAAGTGAAAGTGATGTCAAAAAATGAGAAATTAGAGATAGAGCATGCTAAGTCCAAAAATATAGTATTTTATTATTGTTAGACTTTTGAGTAATTGGATTTGGTTGAATATTTTTATAATATATTTTTTTATTTAAATTGTATTATTTTATCATGACCGGTTTTGTCACCGGTTCAACCCCGATTCAATCCGATTGAACAACTAATCCGTAATTCAATACCATGACTGATTTAATCATCGGCGGTTTTACATACCTTGAAATTGCTTCCGCTCAGATGAGCACCGAATGCAATTCCGCACTGAAACTGAATGCATTTACTGACACGTTTTAAACCGGGGAAGGCACTGGAGCGGGTAGGGGTCCTGTCTGCAAACGGGCTCATGTTGAATTCCTTTTCTGCACCTCACAAGATATATCTCATGGCTTCCAAATGTCAGCGCCTCCTCAAAGTGTTTCTCTCTCCTTCTCTATCTCTCCTCTCTCATCTCTCTCCTCTCTCTCTCTCTCTCTCTCTCTCTCTCTCTCTCTCCTGTCTCTCTGTGCTTCCTGTCTATGTATTTGGTATTTTGTTTGTGTTTTTCTGTGCTTCCTGTGCTATGTAATTTGGGTATTTTGGTGTTTTTCGCTGGCGCACGCAGTAATTGTCGCGGCCTTACTAGGCATTCCACTAATTTTCAGTTTCAATTTCGTGTTGTCTGTAGTTGCAGGGTCCAATTTGCAGAGTTCGACAAAAAGGGCTAGAACAATGACCACTAATTCCTCTATGAAGGATGCTTTTGCCAAATATGCTCAATATCTGAATGACCTTGTAATGCTTCTTTTCCGTCTCACACGCGACCCCCTTGAACAATGACCATGTTCAAGTGTTAGACTTTGACTTTCATATTAACCTTTTAGTTTCGTTGAAGACTGATAGTTCTGACTTGACGAAATGATTAGTGGTGTTCTTGTTCAGTTTTTGTTCGATTTTTTGTCGACATTAGGGAATTGCTGGTTGGGCGAACAAGCTGAGAAAACTTAGGAAGAACTCTCTCTGTTTTTTCTTTCCCAGACGTTTTCTACTACGATGTCTAAATAACTTTTAATCTAAGGGTTGCATTGGTTAAGGATGGATTCTTCTGGCATTTAAGTTAAGAGATACTTTGATATCGATGTCTAATAACTTTTAATCTAAGGGTTGCATTGGTTAAGGATGGATTCTTCTGCATTTAAGTTAAGAGATACTTTGATATCCATGTTTGTTTTCATCGCTGCCACTTTCAATGCGTTGTATTGGTTGTTGAAGCCGATATATCTCCTGCGACTTTAGGGTTACTGATGATGTAGGAAATAGAATCAAAGGGGAAGGGTAGAAAGCTGTTAGTGGTTGTAATCTGTGAAAGAAGTGGACATTTTAGGACATTGAGCTTTTGATCATTTAATTCTACTGCTTTCAGCTTACTGTTGCGGAGGAAACACTTGTATGTAGTAGAGATTTTATTTCAGAAGTATGAACTTTGATAAAGGCTCACCTGAAGCTTATTTACCTCACCAACAGGTCACCATACTTCCCCTTTTGCGGGAGCAAGGATTTATTACCGATATTAGATAATTATATTTCTACACTGTATGAGTGGCCATGAATCTTCCGTGAAGTAAGCCATTTGCGATATTGCTAATTTTTGAAAATTATACATCTCAGAATCCTATTGTGGGTGGTCTGGGGGCGGACACTACTTCCTGTTATTTTAATGCTTGGTAAATTTATTTGTGTAGAATGACAAACGGGAAAGACTAGTAAAAGCAAGTCGTGATGTTACCATGAATAGCAAAAAAGTCATATTTCAAGTGCACCGGTAACCTGTTTTTCACACCCCTTCGACTCTTCTTTTTACATGAAATGGAAGAACTTTATCTGTGTTTAACTCATTATTATTCATACTCATATTAACATATTTTAATTTGTTAATTAGTATGAGTAAATATAATAAAGAAGAAGTTCTTGAGAAAGCAGAAAAGGACTTTGCAGCTGTCACACAGCAACATGTGTCTCGACTAGTCAAAGAACTGCAAGGAACTGACTTTTGGAAGCTTAGGAGAGCATACTCACCTGGGGTATACTTTTTTACCTTACCTGTTGATGATGGACACACCGTGTCTCTCAATTTCTCCTCATACATGTCTTGTATTTGGCAGATACAAGAGTATATTGAAGCGGCAACATTCTTCAATTTCTGCAAAACTGGAAGTCTTTTGAAACTTGATGATATAAATTCTACTTTATTGCCGCTCAATGATCCATCTCTTGGCCTCTGCAGATAAATATTCTTGACTATCTACTAGGGGTAATCTTTCATATTACTAAAGTTTATCATTATTTATTTAAAATAAGATAGAGCTTTATGAACAGGTGTTTTAGAGTTGTTTAATGTAAGACAAGGTTCAGGAATGAAGCAAAAGATTCAGTTCTACATATTCTTTCAATTTTTTTTGGATGTATTGGCCTGCCTTTCCTTTTTCTGTTTTCCTTTTATAAGAATTTGGTAGTCTATTAATGGTATGATGATACAAAAGCATGCAACCTATTTATCCTTATCCATATCTTTCCTTCTCAAGGAAATTGTGCGCTCTTATTTTACAGCTTGCAGACTGACGGGAGAGCTAATGCGTTTGGCAATTGGTCGAATATCAGATGGTGAGCTTGAATTTGCTGAAAAGATATGCAGATTTGTACGTGATATAACAGGGATCTTACCTTGGTAGTACCGATTATGGACGACAGTTCTGATATGAAAACCAAGATGGACACAATGCTTCAAAGTGTCATGAAAATAGAGAATGGTAATGTGTTGGCACTTTATCTTCCAAAATCTGTTTTCATTGCCAGTGTAACATCTTTTCCACAGTTAGATGCTATAGAATCTCAGTTGGAGGTACAAATAGAACAATTTAAAAGAGTTAATCGGAAAAGAAATTATATATCCCATTATCCCCTTTCATGGTTAAAAAATGTTTAGGAGCCAACCTGAATCAGCTCAAAAATCTCTAGGGCTGGGCTTGGAAAAACTGTAATTTTTCTTATAGTATGCTTGGTGCAAATCAAAATCAATTCAATGTTTTGGTTAGATGTTCTGTTAGGGAAATTGAAATTAGTTGAAATTTGATTTCAGTTGCTACAAGTAAATGTATTGCAGTTTTGCTTGAAGACTTGACATTTTTTAAAGTAGAAATTGAGGTAGGCTAGCAAATAATTAATAAAATAAAAAGCCTCACAATTTGGGCTTTTAGGCCAGCTTGCTAGCCCAAATTGCTAGGGTAGGGCTTTGCTATCTGAGCTCTTTTTTGTATATTTAGGTTTTTTCATGTCGGCCTGAATAAGTCTAGCTTGCTCAAATTACCAGCTCTTCTAGAATGTTTGTAACATCATGAAAGATATGCATGGTTAAACTCAAGCGAATGGGATACCTTCTGGAGCATTCTGTTGCTGTTTATTCTGTTAGGGAACCATGAATCCACCTGCGTTAGATTGTATCTTAAAAAAATAATAAAGATAACTGGTTAATCAAGTGCTCTCTGTTTAGCTGAATCAATCAACCAAAATACAGGAATTATGTGTACTGTGATCCTCATTGACTGCGCATGTCACTACTGTCACACTGTTTGATTGCTCATATCACCTCTACTTGAACTCTAAGATCTACATTATTTCATGAAGAGAGTGATGACAAGGTTTAAATTCTTCATTCCTCTTGGGGGAGGGTTTGTTTTTGCAATCTGATTTTTCTTTGATTCAAGAACCTTCCTTGAGTGAATGCCATTGGTATATGACAATTCTATTGTACGCATCAAATCTAAATCTCATGGCGCTCGTAAAACTTTATTAGTTAGGTGAGGCATGACTTCTAGTCCTAGATCACCTAGTATATGACGTGATGATGATTTGTATTAAACTTTTTGCCGAGTTAATTTTGGGTTCTTTCTTTTGCAGCTTGCTATAGTGTTCATGTGAGGGGATCGGAGTATATTCCACTGCTTGGATCTGATGATCCAAGTTCTTTCTTGGTGGGATTGCCAGATATTGAACTGTGAAGTACTCTCCTTCTATCTTTAGCTCCTGAGTATGTTCTTCTGAGTCTGTTGTAACCGTTCCATTTAAGGAATAGTATTCCTTACTGTTTTTCCTTTTAATGCCTGTAAAGTTATATATTGCAAAGTAGTTTATTGGAGGATAGCGAAGTTTAATGTCTCTGCATTGATCAAATTTGACTAAATTTTGTTGAAGCTTAACATGATCATCAGCTCTGGTCTCTACTTAGCTGAATCAACCAATTTGAGGAAGCGTCTTGTATTGATCTGCAGTTGGAATCTGATATTGGTGCTGTTAGATCCCCTAGGTTTTGATTATTGTGATGCTAAACGTGAGCATGTTTATATTAGAATAAATGAATTCATTTGCTTAATGAATACTTTATGATTATATTAGACTAAATGAGCTTGGAAGTTCAAAAAAAGAAAAAGAAAATAATACACTTGTTTTAATTTGATTTTAATGCTTTAAGTATATGTGTCTACTGTATTCACTTGAAAAACTTGCCATTATTATGTCTTCTGTCCGGTTTGTAGTTGCTGCTCCTCTGGAGAGCCACGTCATCCATTCATCCATCCGCCACGTATGCATGTAACAATTTTTTTTTTTTGGGATAAACATGCGTGCAACAAATTAATGATAAAGGACTTGTCTGCGTGACTTGTTTGGAATGTTGGATCATAGTGGGCCAAGTAGTACCTCATCTACTTGACCCGCTTTCCTAATCTTTGCCGGCTAAACAAAGTGAATGCTGCACCCAATACTTTGTGAGAGTTTCACCTAAGGCCCTCCAAAAACTGATTGTTAGGGCTCAATATATTCTGAAAATACATGCTAGGCCCAATGTCTTTCAATCTAGGTGTTAATTAACAAAGCACTAGTGTCCCCGTCATTGGAGCACTAGTCAAACATTGTCAAATGTGTCAAGGGGTAACCTTTCAACTCTTGGCTCTCCAAAATAAAGGAACCAATAAACACTTGAGTATACATGGCGCAAATATATGTGTGTGTATTATAACTTTGTCTTTCAAGCATTTTCATATATTATTATATGTATTTTAGATGTCTTGTTTATATCTAAACAATTGCTTGTAAGTATTTGAACATAATTTTTTCACCTATAAAAAAGTTGTAAATTTTTAAAATCTTATTCTGTTTGTTTACAATGTATTCTTTCAAAATTGATAAGTTATTAATATTATGCTAAATAAAAAAAACTTATGTACTTATCTTATATATTTAATGTACTTTTGTAGAATTAAATCAAGACATGTAGATTTTTTTTTTTTTGCAAGAGATATGTAGACTTTAATATGTTAATAATATTAATAACAAGAAGTTGTTATAGTATAGATAATTTATAAAAAATATACATATCTTGATTTAATTGAAAATAAACATCTTAAGTATATAAATTTTTCCTAATAACATATATATTATAAATTTATTATTAAAAAATTTTTATGGGATTTTGTTAATAAAGATTTTCTTATTAATATTTGAATAATCACTTGTAAATATTTGAACATAATTTATTCATACATACAAAAGTTATTAATTTTTAAGACCTAACTAATTTTATTTTTTTACAATTAGTTTCTTCAATGTTAAAAAGTTATCAATATTATGCTAAATAAAAAAAGTGTATGTCATAAATTTATTTTTCATAGGCTTTTATTAATTATGAACATCTAATATTTAAATAGTCATTTATAAATATTCAAACATGATCTATTCATATATAAAAATATTATTATTTTTTAAAATTTAACTTATTTTATTTTTTATAATTTATTCTTCAATGTTAATAAGTTATTAATATTATATTAAATAGATATATATATATATATATATATAAATTTATTGTTCAAGTGAAAGTTTGAATAGGTTAAGCTATAATGGTCAAAAACAAAAAAAAATGGTTAAGCTATAAGCCCTTACAAACTTAGATCCCAAACTAGGGAACTGACTTCTGAAGCAGCGAGGCATGTGAAAAATACTAAAAGTCCAAATCTAAAAAAGTTTTCTTTTTCAAAAGGGTCACGTCAACAGGCTGGCGCACCAACTCAGCAGGCTAGTCCCAAGCCCAAGCCATCGAAAAGCTAGTCCTTTCAATCCGTACTCTTTAGCTTGACACCATTTGCAGGCTTTCTCATATTTCCAGTTGGCAGTTCAAATTAAAAGAACGAGATAATTTAATTTAAAATTAATATTTTTAAAAAATAATAATTATTTTAAGACTAAAATTATAATAAAATAAAGAGATTGATCATCACTTTATAAAATATTTTATGTACACATGCTTTTTATTTTTTTATCATAATTATTTAAATATTATATATCTACATTTTATTTAATCTAGAGAATGTAAAATATTAAGAATAAGAAATACAAAATTATAAAACTTAATTCCCTACTTCTGATTTCTTAAAGTCACTCTCAGGCCTCAGCACAGAGTGGCTTCGCCGCTACTTTTACCTAGGAAGTGCTCTGTCAGCAGATCTCTGCATGAGCAGAATCTAGTTGCAGAAGGTTTGGCTATTGAAGATGGTCCTCACTTAATGACACAAGCGCCTCAATTATTGAAGGTATATTGCTTCCGAGAGGGGTCTGTTTGATTACATATTGAAAAAATAATAATAAAATTTTTTAAATTATGAAAATAATATTTTGATACCTCAAAATGTAATATTTTTATATGATTTACTTACCCATCAATTTCATATTAGGAAAAAGACAACAGAAATTAAAGTAAAAGATGTTCATATTTGGATGGGATTACCCTATGATAGGGTGTCACCAAGGTGTATAATTAAAATAAAGCATTTTTCAGATTGAAAAAAAATTGTAAAATACTATATAAAAAGATATTAGTATTGATTAAATCTAAAGTAGAGAATGAAAATTTTAAACTTTTATTTGTATTGTACACTTTTATGTCTCATTTCAAATTTTAATGTTAGTGAGCGAATGGTTAAAGTCATGTATTGCATAAAGAACGCATCAAAAACTTCAACTAATCAAGATATATATTAGATAACTTGTGTGATGAATTGAAAGAGTATTGAAAACAAATCCCATCATTTGGAAGGCAATAAACAACAAGAGGAAGATCTTGCCTGAATATTTAGGATATAACATAGTTAAATATGATCTCATCCTCAGTCTAGCTCTTGTGGACTATCATTGGATGTGTTTCGCATTAGAGCCTAAAACACTAAACTTTTATGTGCTTGACTCTTTCAAAAGTGATTGTCAAATTGAATAGAAGAGAAAGAAAAGAAAAAAAAAAGATGGATCATTAAATGTAAAAAGATTTTTCATGAATACATGTGGAATGGCCTATTAGTAAAGTTTGATGGTATCTTTGTAGTATATATTGGTTTGATAGTATCAAATTTTTTCTTTTATAGCAAAATAAGTTCTACAACATTATTGAATTGGTGAATTGGTGAAGCCAAAGTTGATCGAAAAAAAATCAATAGTTGAAGTTATTTGGCCTGAAGTATCAATAACTAAAGTTATTTAATCACTTGTCATTATTGTTTATATGTTACATATTCGTAGGAAAGATTGTGGTGTTCTTTCTACCATTATCAACAAGGTAGAGTCATATCATCCAAGCTTACAGTGTATTTCATGTCACTAAAATTAGTATGAATGTCAAAACAAGAAGATATCATTATTCTCAATTCTTCAAGTGTCATCCCCTTTCTCATCATTTTTACTCTCATACTTCCCACATCATATTATATTTTACCTTCAATATTTTTCTTACAAATTGTCCCCCTATGTAGAAATAATAAAATAGTTCTTTTTTAAAACTAGAAGCAGAAAAAGCCATTTCTCATGCCACTCTGCAACAATGAAATAGTCATCCATCAAAATGTCTATTTTCCAAACATCACGATCACAATTTATTATGTTTTATTTAACAACAATATTTTTTCTATATTAGTTATTTACAATTTTAGTTTATGCATTTACAATATAATTAAAAATGATATATCATTTATTATTTTATTCATATAAAGTCAACACCCTTACCCATGTAATTCAGCCTTATGTATGAAGAGAAAATAAAGATCTCAGTCATTTATATAAATCAACTTTAACTTCAACTTTTAAAGTTACACACATAAACTTTAATCTTCATAGATGGGAGAAGAAATTTTCAAATGAGAGAAGAAATTTACCTCCCATAAAGTGGAAGAAATTTACTTTACTCTAATGCGAGTTAACAAAGAAAGAATGATAACTTGTATTTCTATTATTTGCAAAGTTTTGACATCTGAAAAATGTAACAGCCCTCCGTTCACCCCGCCTACCCGAGTCTTTTGCGGCGCTGGACACTCTCCCCCCAGGCCCCACAACAGGGCGACCCCACCCCTTACGGTGAGCATCAGGAGACAAAGGCTTCCCCGCAGTAGTATGCGGATTATTCCCCTTGCGGAGAGCCTCCCCAGGTTCGATCCTCCAACCTCTCCTACATAACAAAGTTGAGGCTGAACCTGGTACCATTGAACCACGTGGTTCAAGAAAAATTACTATAAAGAATTGTTATTTTCAAATTTTCTGAATTACTTTATTAATCATGCTTATTTTGAAATATAATATAAGTTATTATGACTTATGCTTGATATTTATTATTTGACAAACTTAAATACAAGGCCGATGAATCTGCTAAACCATCTGATTTTGTAAAATCTCTAATGATCAATAAAACAAAAATAGAAAATGTTTACAAAGTAATGATTTGTCATTAGTGTGGTTGGTTAGAATTTTTATTAGGTTTGTTATTAGTCTGGTTGGTTAGAATTTTTATATTAGGAAAAATTAATTGAGAATTTCAATAAAACACCATGGATGTGACTCATTTTCAAATTACACACACAATAGATTTTGGAATTTTACTATGGGATCAAGGGACAAGATGGAAATTATGTTTTGAAATCAAATTATTAAAATACCCTTTATTTATTTTTTTAAATATTTTAGTCACCGTTGCTGGGGGCTTCGGTCACTGAATCTCTACCACCATCAATGAAGCATTGGTGACTAGTTGCCAAAGCTACTAGTAATTCTCCAAAATGCCCCCGGGGGGTGGATCGGACAATTCCTTGGCTTGACAAAATGAAATTGATCACCAAGCCACCCAAACCTTTTCAGTAAAGTCATGCAAAAAAAAAAAAAAAAAACAAAACAATAAAAAACATAGAATAAGCTAAAGCCCGGACCACCCCTTTTTTTGTCATGAGGGTTGGATTTCTCTCCACTTTCTTTTTTTTTCACTATTTTTTTACTATAAATCTGGATCAATTAAACTTATAATTTTAAAAATTATTAAATTTAAATTTTTAACTTCAATTAAAT